AACAACCTTCCCTCAGTATTTCCACAACAACAACAACAACAACAACAACAACACAACAACCTTCCCTCAGTATTACCACAATAACAACACAACAACCTTCCCTCAGTATTTCCACAACAACAACAACAACAACAACAACAACACAACAACCTTCCCTCAGTATTACCACAATAACAACACAACAACCTTCCCTCAGTATTTCCACAACAACAACAACAACAACAACACAACAACCTTCCCTCAGTATTAACACAATAACTACACAACAACCTTCCCTCAGTATTTCCACAATAACAACAACATTATCACAAGAACTGGTTCCTCTGTATTACCACAATAACAACAACAACAAACACAACAACAACATTATCACAAGAACTGGTTCCTCTGTATGACCACAATAACAACAACAACAAACACAACAACAACATGGTCACAAGAACTGGTTCCTCTGTATGACCACAATAATAATAATGACACAAAAACATTACCACAATATTACCACAATAACAACAACAACAACACAACAACTTACCCTCTCCCTCCAGACCCCAGCTACTCCTGTAAGAAGTACTACCCCCACGGCTGTGCCTGTAAGTCGGACGGTACGGGCTTCATCTGTCGCCAGCAATCCTACGAGCAGCCCCCGGGCTTCCGAGTGGTCACGTTGGACCTGATGGAGAACGTCACAGGACAGAAGACTTCCGATTATCTGCTCTTTACTACCTATGATAAGGAGATGCATCGGTGAGGGAGAAATTTGTTGTTGTTGCTGTTGTTGATGTCTTTTTTCTTCTTCTTCTCCTCCTCCCCCTCCCCCTCTTCCTCCTCCTCCTCCTCCTCCGTGTTTTTCTTCTTTCTCCTCCTCCTCCGTGTTTTTCTTCTTTCTCCTCCTCCTCCGTGTTTTCCTTCTTTTCTATCCCTATGCTGTTTCTTTTAGTCTGCATTGCATTTTCTCAGTTGTAGATGACTGAAATTCTGTCAGTGTGCCTCTCTTTATTTCAAGTATTTCTTTCTCTGTCTAGCTATCTCTCTCCCCATCAATCTCTCTTTCTATCTCTTGTACCCCTTCTCTCTATCCTCTCTCTCCCCCTCTCTCTCTCTCTCACTCTCTCTCTC